TAAAAGTTCCCAACTATTTGGCTTTTATTTTTATTGTGGTCTTCCTGTTATTTTGAGTGCTGTGTTATAATTGCTTTTGTTCTCACTCTTAATACTGATGAATGATTTCATACTGGTGTATGTTGTGGTTTATGGTTAACCATGGATTGCATAATGTTTTTAATTCCATGGTATTCCTGCAAGGGAACTACATTTGTTGAACAGGATAGAAACATGAAATAAATAATAAGGTTGAGAAAAAATGCAAATAATAGCACGCTTTTATATTTTCAAAAAGGAAGAATTTTACCATTGTCATCCCTGAAAATCTTTAGCAAACTGGAAAAACAAAAATGGTCTCCTATAGGAAAAACACTTTTAACATTGGACTTGAATTTGTTGTTTAAGTGGTGCTATTCTTCATTTTAATAAAAATTACTTACACTGTAGAACGTTCCATTGACAACACAACCTGGTACTTTCACTGTGGGACACAAAGATAATATTATAATTAATCTTAGCATTTGTTCTCAACAGATCAAATTAACTCAGAAAGAAAAATGACATAAAATGATACAATTTGCTCTTTAAAGATTTCCTTTTAAGAGTGTGTGTGGTAACAAAAAATGTTTATTTAGCACACAGTACAGAGTAGGAAAGTTGAGTAATTTAATCTATGGGAATTCTAAAGCATTTGATCTTATCCACTGCATCTCTCAAATAAAAGTTTTTCTGGGTGAGCTCCATATATGCTGGGCTGCAGTACTGAATATTTCGAGCAAGTACAGCTTAAGCAATTTTGCAAGATCTGTTTCAGACCCACTGTTGGATTTACATTTATTTACATTTTCTGATACATAACAATGTGCAGTAGGATCCAATGACAGTGAAAATGAATGCTTCATTTAGAATAGCTTTTTCTATGACATAAATGATAATGCATTGAATTGCAAATGTTAATGTTGATAAAATGTTTTTTTTTAAGCAGAGATGGGGTAGAACATATTTGTACAAATTGGAAATAGACTACTTTCATCCATATGTATTTTGTACAAATAGCATGTTTGACAGAAACATTCAATAGCTTTGCTAGAATCATCTTTCAGCAAGGTCAGTCAATTTATTTGGGACAGTCCTCCCATGATTTAAAGGTGGAAGAAAAAAATCAGTCCCTTTAAAACTGTATGTTGCTAACAGGCTAGTAGCAGAAATGACACATATAAGGAATTAAGGATGCTCAATCTCAGAGCCAGTGTAGATCAAATATCAGTTTACACCAGGAAAACCAGTTTACACCACAAAAAGAGATCTCCTCTGAAATGGCTTTCCATGGGAAAGGATGAATATACTTTCTGTGTTTTTGCAGGCAGTGGAATATGGGGTAGGGGAGAATATTAAAGCAATACAGCAATTGCTTTTAAAAATGGCTCAATTCTTACCACAAGTGGTGTTAATGCAGCAGCCTCCTGGCAAGTTTTCCTTCTTTAATTCATATCCCAGTGGACAGGTTTCACTAGACCCGGGACAGTGGGAAGTGTTGCACACTACGGAATGAAAAATAAAAAGGAGGAAGAGCAATGAGTGGATTAATACATTTTAATATCTATTAGCATCACTTTATCTACACTTTATCTTGAGCAAATCAAAGAGTGGATTAAGTTATAGTGAATCCAGTACATTGTGTATTTAAATATAAATTTGACCTGTGGTCTTTATAATTTCATGTGAAATGGTTTAACTTCATTTTTATCAAAAAAAAAAAATTGCCAGTGAGTTGATCAACAGCATCCTATAAGCATTAACTTTTGACCTTGTAGAGACTAGAAAGTGCATCTATAGGGTTCTTGGTGCTCTCTGAACTTGGTGGTTTCCTTGGAGATGTTTCAGTACCAAATAGTTAACATCAAAAGTATATACTAAGGATGTTACTTGGTTTGATAACAAAACATCTGCAAAAAAATACCAAGCTCAAAGAGCACCAAGGACCCTACAGTCCAATCTGGAGCTAAATATATTCTCTTTTAAAGTATTCTTCTATTTTTATTTGTTACTAAATTTATTTGCTGCACATCTCATTTCAAAGCAAATATTTGTGAAGCGGGCAGATTAACTTCTCTAATAGATGATTTATAATTCAGAGCTTTGGCTAAACTGAAGCAGCCACTGTAATCTAATAAATGGGAATTTCCAAAATGAAAACTGGAATGCTAGCGTGGGTCATTTACAATACAATATTGATGAAAATTGTACCTACCACACTGCTTTTGAGGACAGCACTTTTCCTCAGGGGTTAATATGGTGATGGGTACAAACCCTTCAAAAGAACATTCCACAGGAGTAGCTTTGGTAGGACATGGTTCTTCAATACATTGTACCATAAGCGAATATTCCTCACAAGTACATTTCTGGCAGTTGCTAATCCAAGTTTCTCCAGGCTGTGAAAAGATATATTTTAAAATATATTCTCTATCTATATCTGTCTGTCTGTCTGTCTGTCTGTCTATCTATCTATCTATCTATCTATCTATCTATCTATCTATCTATCTATCTATCTATCTATCTCTATCTCTATCTTTTTAAATATATAATATATGTACACATACATATATGCTGTACATATACATACATACATACATACATATATTGCCTCATTAAAACCCACCAAACATTTAAAAAGTCTTGAAAAAAAATTATTTTCCCTAAAGCTCCTATTACCCATAGAGTTTCACCCATCTATATTTTATGAAATAATAAAAGCGTTAATACTTACCACTTTGGGTAAACCATCTGGTCCAGTACAACCTGGAAAAAAATGTATATGTATGATATTTTGCACTGAAGAACATTCAAGTTTCATTATTTGATGTATAATATTTTATTATGTTTTATACTAGTCACTGGAGATAGCTTATAACATTTAAAAACAACACAGAACATTATATAAAACACAGCAATACATGCAGCAGCTGAGAAACCAAACCAGTCTAGAGAAAGCAATAAGCATATTAAGATTTTCCCCTAACACACTATGTCTGATGTCTGAAAACACCCATGGGCCTTCAGAAAGGCTAGAAGGGTCAGATCTACTCTAGTCTCAGTGGGACTCATGTTCCAAATGGAAGGAGCAGCACATGAGAAGGCCCACTTCTTGGGTCTCACAAACTGACATTTTTTTAATTAATAGGATCTGCAACTTAACTCTCCTGATATATTTAATGGGAGGGATAGACATGTAATTAAGGTAATGAAAATTTAATAGCTGACCAGCTGTTGTAAGGCTGTAAGCCAAAATGATGAACTAAGGATGAGTCAGCAGGGTACTGCTGCTTTAAGAAGCTGTCTATATAAGGGAGGCCTCTCTCTCTCTCTCTCTCTCTCTCTCTCTCTCTCTCTCTCTC